GTTGTAACTTATTTATAAGTATATCTCAAGTAGCACACTGGTGTATAAATTGGTGTAAATTTATGGATTATGGTACAAATCTGATTAGATTGAAGAAAAAAGAACGTTTTGGTGTATTTGTTATTCCACCAGTATTTCTTTCAAATAAAAATTCTACTTTATCATTTTGGTACTATTTGTTCACTGAGATTAGTACGAAAAAATGCTCCTAAAGCTCCTAAAATGCGCCACTTTTTTCATTTGGTTCACAAATAGCTCCTCGTTAACAAATGTCATTGAAATTATTCAGGCGACATTCTGAGTAGTGATGTGCTGAATTCTCGGTACCCAATACTTGAAAAAAATTTCGGTACCCAATACTTCCTTTTCGGTACCCGATACCGATTCGACACACTAAACTTTCGTCATTATATCTGTGCCGTTCAATTAAAGTAGCTTAAGTCACTTTAGATGGTTTGACTTTGAATTAAAAAAAAATCAGTTTCCTTTGAAATTGTTTTATATTTTAATTAAGATTCTATTATAGGGGCATCTTGAACTACATCTTTGGCTAGTTAAACGTTAAAATATTGTTTGGGAATCCAATGAAATGGGGCTTTAAAGGGAAAAGGACCTATCTCGACATAGGCTACTTTTGGGGGTAAAAATTATTGATATTTTATAATACATCGCCTAAAAACCCAAAATGTACAAATAAGACGGTCCTTTCTCAAGAGATGAGCAATGTGTTTGTATGTATGTAGTTAAGTGAAGCAAAGTATAATGTGTGCGTCGAACAAGGCAGGCAATTAAATCAGCACAATAATGATAAAGGCGAATTTAATAAGGTGGTGTTAGCCGTATATAAGTAAAAAATTACACTAACAAATTATACGCAGATATTCATACTGACATTAGTATGAACTACAACAAACACGTAATTTTGATGTAGTGTCCTCCACGGCGAAAAATTCAGATACGCCGGTAACACCACCTTATTAAATTCGCCCTGATACTGATGTCGCAAAACACACTCTCGCCTTCTTTTACTTATCGCAATCGTCTTTCCAATTGCAATAGTTCTGGTGGCAATATTATTTATTTTTAATAGCTGACACTATATGTATGTGTACATATAACTCATATTTTTGGCTGTTGCGCGCTTTTATTAGAAATTCCAAGATTTCGGTACCGAGCATCGAAAGTATTTGATACTTTTTAAATCGGTACCGAGTATCGATCAATACTTAAAAGTAGCGACTCAGCACATCACAAATTCTGAGAGCAATTGACAGTGGACCAAAGAATCCACCAAAAAATGAATATTGAATACACCACAGAGTAGCTTTGTTTCTTTACAGATAGGCGCATTTACACAAGGTAGTGTTAGCCGAATATAAGTAAAAAATTACAAAAGCAAATTACAAGAAACACATAATTTTCACGTTATGCGGTGAAAAATTCAGCTGTTGCTCCAACATTAGAGAGACTAGGCACAGCTACTTTGATTTGCTTCTTTTACATATTTTTGTATTTTTTGATAAAAATGGGCGATTTATTAAATTTGATAAAGTGTGGCAAAACCTGAGTATTTGTGAACAATTTTTAAACATAAAATGCGATTAAAAATTCGCAGCAAATACATATGTTCAGTTGTCAAAAGCATCGGTCAGGTGTTTACTAGCTAGCTGAGCTAGCTGCTAGGAAAGTAAAGAAACAAAGCTAGTGTGTGTGCACATAATACGCTGCCTGTTTTAATATGAGCTTATTATACATACCACAAGTAGAGCTGCTATCAGTGTTACCGTTTTGATAAGTTGGTAGTTTCATTTCAGGGCTGTTCTGGTTTCGTTCGAAATTGATTTCTCATCGATTTGGATTTCCGATTCCAAATTTTAAAGATGTTTTGCAATCCTATCAAAGTTTTGAAGTTATAATAGAAAATAAATCCTATTCGAAATGTCAAAAATGCATTGAGCTGTTGTTGCATAGTATTCGTTTATTAGAACATTTGTAAAAATTTTAAATAAATTTTGCTGAATGGCGGTAATACAATGGTGATGTGAAAGTAGAAAAGCGTACTGAAAGCGTGCTAAAATGGCTTAAAACTCGTACCGAAATATTAAGATTATGTTGCTGACATTCCGTAATTTTATTGCATCATGGTTAAATGAAAACAAATAAATAAAAATAAAATTGCGCGAGCACAGTAATACATTTTTTTTGTTACCAAATATAAAATGCTTATATCGATTGTATTTTTTTTACATTTTAGACATAAAATAATTGATATAAATTTAATTAATATCAAAGATTCATACTTTTGCATGAAGTAAAATCAGAAAGGAAATAAAATATCAATATCTGATGATTAAAAAAAATTGGTAGTTTGGAAACTGATTTGGTAGGATTTTTTGTTCCTAAAAATATTGTCGAGTGGTAACACTGGTTGGTATATTTAATACACCAGTGGTGAAATATGCATCAATAAGGCACCCCTACACGCTTAAATTTTGTTTGGTTACTAATGATTCATTATCATGCCTTCACAAATGCAGCTATAAGTTGAATAGTATATATGAGTACGAACAACAGCGACAATTTTTTCTACATAACATAGGCGAACGCTGATTTGATTTCTTCTTTTCGTACGCGAACGTTAACAAAACATGTTGAAATGTATACGTTCGCGTTTGGGTTCGAATAATGGACGTGTGGTAGGCGCTTAAACTTCTGTCAACTGTGTTCATTTGGCAAGAAACAGTTTTTTATACCAAATTCTCAAACTGAATTGTGTCTAGGGCAAAATAAATACACCGTTCTTGGCTTGGTAAATATTTTTGTACCAAACTCAAAAATCTGTGTATGTTTTCAACGACGACCATATTTTCAAAGTATTATAAAAGTAAGGCTAAGTTCACAACCTAGAGTAATAGCGTTACGCGATGCAATGGAAATCGCTCAATCCAAAGAAACTTCTTCGCTGGCGATTAAAAAGTAGCTAGTGTTTAAATTGCAGCAAAATTATACACGAATAATTTTTTATAATAGGGGAGTTTACGATGAGTAGCATTTTAGATTTAAAGTTGCTACGTACCAATCTAGCACATATTTTGATGTTGGGAAAGCAACAAAACGTGTGATACATTGCTACATAGGGATTCCCCTAATATATTTTTTTTGTTTCCACAACCCTTTGACAATTTATACCGAAACTTAAGCATATTGTATTGTATATAATAGCAGTAGAAGAGATGTTTAATTTATTATATAAATATGTACATATGTATATTTTTATTTATTTGGGCTTTAAGTATGTGAAAAAGCATTTTTTAACAAACTGCATAATTTTTATTTGCTTGCACAGCGATAAACACCAAAGACTGTGTAAATGTTGGTTAGAAGCGATTTTTATGTATTCTCGCTACGCTAATACGTTAGGTTGTAAACTTAGCCTAATACTGAAACTCAGCTGAACGCCATATTAAAGCTGTATGACTATTATTTAACTAATTTAACAATTTCATTATGTACATTGGCTCAACTATGCCACTTTATGTGTATTTTCGAACCTTTTTTAAACAGCGCATCTCTTAAAAATTTAATAATGGCGAAAAATTCATGGCTTTCAAAATATAAGTTTTCCCGGATTTATTTAAAAATCTTTAAATCCTTATAAATTTTTAGGCGCGCGATTTTCTTGCCCGCATATTACGAAAAGGAATGCTGAGATTTATAAAAAGAATTCCAAGTCGCGCAGATTAAAAAAGAGCTTCGGTGTATGTCTGAGTTAATTTTAAATTTGATTAGTAGTAAATTTTATTCCTCGAATCCTTTTGTACCCTTCACACTCATGAAAATATATTTATGCTAGAATATGATGTAAATTCTTTACCATTATGGTGTATGATTTGAGCCAATACCAATACGTATTTTACACCAACGGAGTTTATATTATGTTCCAGAAACAAGAAAACTTGTATACCACTGGCATAATATATATGCCGAAAATCAGTAAAAAAAATTGAAGGTACGTGTAAATAATGCACGAACAAGCGGTATAACTTTTACACTGAATCGAAATAAACTGTTCAAAAACTGCGCTTAGAAATAGCATATTTTTTATATTGAAAATGTATATCACGCCGATGTAAAAAATACACAAAATATTTTGGTCTATTTTTGACTTTTGTGCTACTTGAGATGTATACATATCAATATATTTTTGATAATGTGTGTACCAAACGACTTGTTGTGATTTAATAAAAATAAAATTTGAATATCAAATTTGAAAACGCACATTTTTAAAATGAAGAAAAAACATTTTAGGAATTAATTTCAACATACGCATATTCAATTATCAAACAAAAGTTTTTAAAAACGATTTGAAAATGTTCGTATCAAAAACAAAAACATAGATTTTGAAATTTGAATTGAAAATTATCGTTTTCAAAATTTAAATAAATATTGTAGGTGCAAAACCTGGGTCAAAACGTTTTTAAAAGTAAAACGTCCCATACAAATTTGAAAACGAAAATTTCTCTGTGTATGTTGGAAAACAGGCAAACGAAGCGTGTGCGGTAAATCAAGGCGAGAACGTTGTTCTTAAATTGGTCGAAAAATACGTCGGTTCTGAACGAACAATATATGCCTATAATTTCTTCTCGTATTTTGATTTGGCCACGGCTTTGGTGACAAAACGGTTGGCATATTTAGGAACCATGCGCAAAAACAAAGCCTGCATACCGAAGGAGATGTTGGACCCAAAGCGAGATGTATTCAGTACAGTATTCGGTTACTACAATAATAACATCGCACTATGCTCAACGTGCCAAAAAAGAAAAAAAAATGTGGTTCTCATCTCGACCGAATATTACAATTCCGTCGTCGACTCATCGAAGCCATTTCAAATTCTGGACTAGAATAAGTATAAATCCGGAGTGGACACCATGGATCACATGGTTAGCGGTTACACGTGCAAACGGGGCACAAACCGGTGGCCGTTAACTCTGTTCTATAACATGCTGGACTTGGCGGGCTTGGCTGCATTTGTCATTCATGACAAATTGGGGCATGTCAAGAGGACCGACCGAAGACGTGTATTCCTCATGGAATTGGCAGAACAGCTGGTGGTTCCTTACATGGAACAAAGAGCAACGAATCCCATTGTACGAGGTATTCAACATGTCAAAGTGGCAATGGCGTTATTCGGTGTAGAGGTAAGCATTTCATATATGTATTCATTCATTGAATTCAAGTTCTAAAATCATTTGTTCAACGTTTTTTTCGCAGGTAGCTGTAGGCCCACCGATAGATGATCAACCAGTCCATCCCGTTTCCTCTGCAACTCGACCATCGTGCTCACTCTGCTATAAATTGGATAAAAAGCAGCGAAAAACTAGATTTCATTGCATGTATTGCAAAAAACCAGTGTGTCAACAGCGTTCACATGCCAAGTACGCGTGCGTTGAATGTCGTGCCTAACCTTTATTTTCTTACTTATGATAAATAAAATAGGGTATATTGTTACCTAGAATATAAAAATATGTTTTTATTGTTCACCCTGACTTTTTCCTAGCATTAAACATATTTACACAAACTTTTGGGACACCTGCCTGTGTATTCCCATACAAATCTCATGTAGGTCTGCTCAGACCTAGTTGTACCAGTTGGCGCCAAAAAATCCCTGAACCTCCAAGGGTTAAACAGTTTTTTATAGATGTTTTGTCGTTGGATACGATTTCATTCTGGACAGATGCTTTTTCGTGATTAAAATAACCCGACAAAAGTTAGAAGTTAGGTATATGTTCCGTCCAATAGCATACGAACCCGGAACCTCTTGAAAGCTAACAAATAGTAGCAAGTATGTATATCTCGCACTCAACTACAGCCATAACATGCAAGTGTGTTTTCAAATGCTCAGTTTGAATCAAAGCCAAATCATGCGATTGGTGCATTTGTACAGATTTGTTTTTCCAATTTACAATGTGGCGTTGTTTGGAAATTTTGTTGTTGAGCCAAACTAGTTCTCGATAAAAATTTCTGGACAACATCACTCTGTGATCGATTAAACACACTTATGTAAAAATTGCAAATCGCTAACATGGAAAACCCAAAAAAGGCTATTTGAAAAAATCATGTTACTTTTTTCTTAGCGTGCGGCCATTTCTCACTTGTTCCGGCAGGGTATAATAGTAATAAGAATTTTTTGTAAGTAAATACATATGTATAGTACATCATCATACACAAATTCGTACGTATTTATGTATTTATGCACACATGAATATATATAAAAATTTTGTATTTAATCCATGTGCATCTCTTGGGTTTTCAATTTGTTGGCTCCACCACATTCTGCGCTTGGTGGCAGAGTGATTGCTTATAATGACTGAAATGACGCAGTCGGAAATATTTTTTTTTGAGCCCTCATTAAAAAATGATCGTTTAATAAGTTTTTATTAATCATTCGAATTTGCGTAAGCTCATTCGCAAGCGTGCTTCGCCGTTGGTGTTCTGTTTGTCTATCTGGCTTATTTGACAAATTATCAATACATTTTACTGTTACACCAAAGCAATATAAAAAAATATTCTGGTTTAAATTGTTGTCATATTAATGGCTGCTATTTTTGATAATCATCAATTAATGGAAAATATTTCGAGTACTGGAGAAAGGTTACTTACTAGCATTGCCAGTAACTTTCAATTGCTAAGTAGTAAATACATACTTTCAGGTCGTGAAGCCAATTAAAACAAAAGACTTAAGTCACAAACCGCATTAGTTTGAACAAAATTTAAGCCGGTTTATGTTCCTAAAAATATAAAGATGTGTTTAGCACAGATTCATTTCATCTTTGGAAATTCATTTATATTAATTTGAGGTCCAGTTATCGTCGATGTATAGGTATATTTTATTGCAACATAAACTCTAATTTAACTATGTATAAACAGACTTATGCAATAAAAAAAATGTGTTTACATCGCGAAGTGTTAGAAGGACAGAAAACAGGAATAAATCTGTCTTATTTTGCAATGGTACGAAGATCAAGGTAATGTTAAACACTTTAAGGTAAAGGTGAAGAGGAATATGCAGAAATAAAGATAAATATGAAGAAAAGGATGAGGATGAAGATCGATATTGTTATCGATATAAAACTCGATATTTTTATCGATATAATAATCGATATTGCTATCGATAAAATAATCGATATTGTTATGGATACTGTTATTGATTAAATAACCGCTATTGTAGTCGATATAATAATCAATATAATAATCGATACTAGAGTGCCAGTTACTGTCGAAATTCGACAGTTTTTCTAGTTTTAGAAGCCTTGGAGAGGTTTTCTAACTTAACACGTAGCAAAACTTATACGATACAAATTAACCAGCCGGAAAATCTTCTGCTTTGGAACTAAAACGTAACTAAAATTTTTTATCTGTGAAGGTCTTTGCAGGACTTCGGCAGGACTTGGAATTGACCCGGTACATTCAAGTTTGTCGATAAATTTCAATGATTTGATACATATCGATAGTTCGATGAATTTCAAGAACACTAAAATCCGATAACTCAACAAAATTCGTTAACTCGACCAATTTCGATAACTGTGAAGTTCGAGGGCTCGATAAATTTCGATAACTCAAAAATGTAAATTTTTTGGATACCTTTATAAATTTTTACTTTTGACAGCTCCACATTTTTCGAAAACTATCTAAGCATTTTGATAACTCGTTACACTCTGTTAACACGATAAAATTCGATAAGCAGTGATAAATCGATAAGCTAATAGAACCTTGAGATTTCGATAAATCGATATATTTTGAAAATTCCATAAACTTCGATTCGTTGAACCAACCTATTTCAGTAGATCAATAATTATCGATGACTCTGTTGAAAGGACTCCATGAATTACGACACCTCGATAAATGTCGTTAAGTCTATATATAATGATAATTCAATAAATATCGATAACTTGATACATTTCTTTAACTTGACAAATTTCGTTAATCCCACACGTTTTTATAGCTCAATAACTATCCGTAAATTTGGACAACTACGTTTCTGTGTCTATACTCAATCTCGACAACTCAATAAACATTGATCAGTTTGAATAATTCGATAAGTTGCGATAACTTAATAAGCATGGATAAATTTCTATAATTATAAACTTTTACGATTCGATCAATTTCAGTAACCTTTATGTCTGTTACCTTAATTCTTATGTATTTCTCATTGTCTCCATTTTCGCCTTTATCTCCATTTTCGTCTTTATCTTCACTTTTGCCTTTTTTTGTCTTCATCGTTATCACTGGTTTCTTCGTCTTCAGATTTATCTTTATTTAAAAGTTTAATTTCAAATACGAAGTAAAACAAAATGCGAAACAGCTTAAATGGAACAGGTTGCAAAACAACCATACACAATATGGAAATTTTTAAACGACGATTTTCAACCAATTTTGAAACTATAAAAATTCTCCTCATCTACAGAAAATTACCTTTCCAACGGTGTTTTTGTTTTGAAATCGGTAACTTTACCTTGGTCTTCATCTTTGCTTTTATCTTTCACATCTTTGCTTATATCCATTTCTTTTGCTATTCACGTAGATGAGATGAGGTGCGATGACGTGATAAGATGTGACGTGATTTTATGTGATGTGATAGGATGTCATGTCATTTGTTGTCACATCCTCTGATGTCATGTCATATAATGTCATACCATATGATGTCATATCATGTGATGCCACGTCATGTAATGCTATGTCATGTCATACGATGTCATATCATGTGATGTCAAGTCATGTGATGTCATGCCATATAATGTGATGTCATATCATATAATGTCATGTCACGTGATATTGTGTGATGTGATATCATATTATGAGATGTAATATCATGTGATGTCTCTTCATATCATGTAATAAAATGTGATGTGATGTCATGTAATGTGATCACATTCCATGTTCCGATTAGTATATCGATAACCCTGTTGATAACTGTGTCGATAAAAATACCGATAACAATATTCATAAAAAATACAATAATGGATATTGTTATCGGTATAATAATCGATTAAATAATTGATTTTGTTATCGATTTAGTCATTTATATTGTTAACGATATGTACAATAATCGATAGTGCTGATTGTTATATTTATCGATGAATTAATCGATTTTACAATCGTTGTATATTTCTATATGTTTATGGATATTGTTATCGGTATTTTTATCAACACAGTTATCAACAGGGTTATCGATATACTAATCGGAACATGGAATGTGATCACATTACATGACATCACATCACATTTTATTACATGATATGAAGAGACATCACATGATATTACATCTCATAATACGATCATTTAAGCTGTTTCGCATTTTGTTTTACTTCGTATTTGAAATTAAACTTTTAAATAAAGATAAATCTGAAGACGAAGAAACCAGTGATAACGATGAAGTAAGTTATCGCGAAAAGTGGCAGGTTTTGGAAAAGGGGGCGTTGCACCTCCCATACAAACTGAACTTCTCAGATTCTGAAATTTAACACAGCTATATATGCTATCAATAGCGTTCTTATGGCGAAAAGTGGTAGGTATTGGAAAAGGGGGGTGGCCCCGCCCATGCAAATTGAAATTATCATATCACTTATCTCTGGTACCAGTTATGCTAACGTCCTGGCGTTTGACACAGAACCATATGTTGTTAATATCGCATTTACGCAAAAAGTGGTAGATTTTGGAAAAGGGGGCGTGGAACCTCCCATACAAACTGCAATCTCATATTGATTATTTCTGGAACAACTTTTGCTAACGTCCTGAAATTTGGCACGGCAAAATATGTTATCAATACCGTACCTCCTGCGAAAAGCGGTAGGTGTTGGATAAGGAAATTAAAATTCTCATATCGCTTATCTCTGGAACCGCTTATGCTAACATTCTGAAATTTGACACAACTATTTATGCTTCCAATAACTAGTGTTCGTCCGATAGCACCATGTACACTGAGGGAAACAAATTTTAGAATAAAAAAACGTGCTAAGTTTAAAAAGATACGCATATAAAAGAGCACCAACCCAACTTATTTTAAATTTGAGTATGTACGTTATAAAATATGTGGTTGTGAAGTGCACAGATGCTTTTTTGTTCAACTCCACGCAGTAACCAAGTGGAGCGCGAAAACGACCATACGAACATTTCGAACTACTATCCTCTTCCGGATCTTCATCGTTACATAATTAGGGGATTTCCTGAACTCGTAAAGTCTTAAACCGTGTAAAACTCGTAAGTTTTCGAGGCTTTTATGGGAACGCCCCCTTTGTGAAAAGGTGTAAATAGGTGCGTAAAGTGACTGTTTGACAGATCAATCAGGATTTTGTGAAGCAATTCTTAGTATTTCCCATAACATCCCACCATCTTGTCTCTTATCACTCTTGGCTAAAATACAATTAAAAATGCCGAAAATTAGCAGAAAACCTAAGTCTATACAG